AGGGACGGGATGATGACAGCCTTAGATGCGTTGAGGGTAGGACGGCCAAATATCATGTTGTAGGCGGACAGCTCCTCCACAACTAAAAACTTGACTATCATGTGGCGTCCTTGCCCCTTTTCACCCAGCCGGATTGGAAGATCTATGCTTCCGACCGGATGCACTACTCCACCCCCAAATCTGACTAGTGGGTGAGGAGCCTGGTGCATGTTACCGGATGTGTACTTCAGCTTGGTCAAGCACTGATAACTGATTAGGTCAGACGAGCTCCCGCTGTCTATTAGGATTCGGCCAACCTTCTGGTTGGCAACCTTGCATTCGATGACGATGGGGTCATCATGAGGCCGCCTGACCTTGCCCCGGTCCTTTTCAGAAATAAGGACCTCAGGAAAGATGTCTTTCGACGCCTGGCCCTCATCCACTGAGTTGACCAGCTTCCTGATGTTGTCTTTGGTGCCCCGGATGGTGGGACCCCCTCCGGCAAAACCGCCTGCTATGGTGAAGATGGTCTCTTCATCCGTCTCGGAGTTTACTGGGCCGGTTTTTGCCGCCTGCCCTTTCTTGGCCTGGGTATTACCCCTAGCCTTGGGTAGGTAGGATTTTAGGGCCCCCTCATCTGCCAGACGGTCCAATAGCCGCCTGAGGCTATAGCAGCCATTGGTGTCGTGGCCAACATCCTCGTGGTATTGGCAATACTTGCTCTTGTCCCGTTTATTCACGGGGCTTTTCATTTCAGCCGGTTTGTCGAGAGACATCCGGTCTTTGATTTCCAGGAGGATGGTGGAGCAATCTTTTGTGAACTCGTATTTGGGAACATATGGTTCTGACTTCCGCCTGATCTTCTGGGCCGGCTGTCCTGATCGGTCAGCTGCCCAGACCCCTTTTCTCTTTTCTTCCTTTCTTGCCGGCTGATGCTGTTGCCGGCTCTCTTTTTTATCAGACTTTTTAGAATCTGACGGCTGCTTAACAGCACAAAGCTCCGTCGCCTGTATATAGGCTTCAGCTTCAATTAATGCCTCTTGGAGGCTAGCAACCCTCTTCCGGACGAGGTCAAACTTAAAAGTCGACCCATCCTTCAGACCTCGAAAGAAGTCTGTGTAGGCCACTTCGTCTGATAGTCCTGGAATCTGAATTCTCATCAGATTGAACCGTCTGACGTACGACCGGAGGCCCTCCCGGTCGCCCTGCTGTATTGCCCCTAGGTCGAGGCTAGTCTTTTTGGCAGGAATATTCATTGAGAAATTTGACGTAAACAAGTACGCCAAAGTTCGAAAGCTGTTGATGCAACCGGCTGGTAGGTTACCAAACCACCGCTGGGCTATGCCCTTGAGGGTAGCCGGGAAGCATCGACACCAGACGGCATCATCTAACCCCTGGAGGTACATGAGGTTAGAGTAGGCCATTAGATGGTCTTCTGGGTTGGTGGTGCCGTCATAGGCCCCCACCAAAACATTCTTGATCTTAGGCGGCTGTGCCGCCTGGGTTATCTCTGGTGAGAACGCCGTCGGCTGTTCCCTCAAATTTAGCAGGCGCAGCTGCCAGTCTGTGGGTTGGAACGGCTGCTGCGTTTGCCCACCGAAAAGACCCGGTGACATGAAAGGGGATCCACCCAACCCATTCGGTGTGCCGAATAGGCCAGGCTGGATCACTTTGGGTCCAAACCGGGCAGAAGCTTCGCCCGTCTGGCTCCTAAGGTTCGTTCCCGTACGCCTGTGTGAGACGTCATGGAAACTATCCGGGAAGGTCGACGTTGAGGCCGACGCAGACGCCTGACCTCGCTTCTCTTGGAGAAATGTGCGGGCGTCTGAGAAGGTTTTCTTGGAGCCATCCGGCTGTACGTGCCGGATGGCCTTTCGCAGCTCCCCTTGAGGAAAACGGAGTCTGCTTGGATCAAACCTTAAGCCCTCTCCCTCCTTTGGCTTAGGATGAGGGGTAGGAACTCGTTCTTTGACCGCCTTCTTTCCAGAAGGCTTCTTGGCCGGCTGACCCTTCTTTGGAGTAGCTGACCGGATGAGGCTCTTGATCTCACCCTTGAAACTATTCATGAAAGACATGAGTTCGTTTCTTGTAACGGGGGCTGAGCCCCCCACCGTTTGGGCAATTCCAGTCGGTTGCCCGGCTGGGTTGCTGGGAGCAGCTTGGCTGATTTCCCGTTCTCTTCTATCTTTAGCACGAGGGTGCTTCGTTCTGAAAGACCCATCCGGGGCCACATATGTTTCAATTTCGTCTCCACTTTCATGGTCCGTCTGGACCTCAGGCTCGACCACAGGCCGTTTGCCCTGATTCGGTGACACAGTATCAGAAGTCATCTTCGAAGTACTCTCCCCACAGACGGCGCCAAATGTTTCGGGGTTTTTTGATGTGTCCTGCGGGAGAGTTACGATTCCAAGAATGCCCTTCGACGCCTGTGCCTGCAAAATCACGAAGACTCCTGGGGGTAGGAGCTCCGCCTCCGACGATCAAGTTAGTAAAGATACGGGAGGTAGAATGCACGTAATGTAGGAGTTACTTCTCGCGTAATGGGAGAATTCCGCAATTAATATTGCTCGGGGTAAGTGTTTTTCTCTTTGAGGAGTATTCAATGTGAACTAAAAATGTTCCAGCCCCCATTAATGAGGGTCCTTCCACTATTTATAGTGGGGAAGGGATGGTTTCCCTTTTAGGGTTTAGAGGACACGTGTCAGCAGAGGATTGGAGCCCTGCTGACCAACGGCTGGATGCCACGTGTCACTAGGCCATTGGGCCACGTGTTTAGGGTATTTTTACCCCAAACAGCATCAATTGAGCAATGTATTGTATTCTCAGCTTCTTGATTTGGTGTATCTGTAAGTCAAACAAATTACAATGTCAATGTGTGTATTCATTGTTATGAAAATGAACATTATGCTATATGTCAAATTAACTTACTTGTGGTTCAACATGCTTTTATCAAAATATGATTCCTACATATTAGTATGTTGTTCATTTTTATCTTTCAATATAATTGATGGCATTATCTCCTTATAAATATAGGCTCATAGTTTCCATCTCTAAATTATTGCAACGTGTATTTCACTCTATATAGAACATAACTACAATATATATTGTGTTTGTAAATCAATATATATGCATAAACATTATATTGATATTACAAATTTAATAAATGTTCAATTGGCAAAACAAAATGTACATTCCGTTTTATATAAATGAATAAATTATCACAAATAACATGAGCATATATATATATCACAAATAATGTAAGTGACAATATGTGATTTATTTTTGAACATATTTTAAAATAGAATCATATTTTAAAATAGAATCATCAAAGGTTTATGATGAATGAGCAATATGTAATTTATTTTTGAACATTTTTAGACATGTGAATGAACATACATTAACATATGTGTGAATAATATACATATCCAAATGAACATCTATGTATCAAATTCGAATAAGCATCTATCAATATTAGAGCGAAAATGTATGTAGTATAACATTCAAATGATGCTCATGAGCATATAATTTAATATAAAGTTAAACATGTATTATTATAATCTATGTGGATATTTTCAATATGAGAATGAAAATGTACGTAATTACATTCAAATAAAAATATGTTTAAATACCAGTAAACATTCATTAATATGTAAAGATCATAAACAAAATTAGAGTAATATTCTCTCAAGAATGAATCCTAGTAGATGTAAGGTAAGAATATAAATGATCATATACTAGTATCATAATGAACATCTATCAAATTGAAAATGAACATTTGTTCAGCAATCGTCTTCTCCGACGGAACCTTCGAAGTGTTATTCTCTGTTTCGTTTTTACTAATTAAAAATACCACCAAATATAGTAGATTTTAGTCTATTTTGCACAAAAACAAGTGCAATTATAGTAGAGTTTGTTTTAGAATATCAAAACGCAAAAAAAAAATAATTATAAAATCTAGGGTTTACATTCAAAATTCTACTTAAATGAACAAATTCGTACTCTTCTTTTTCGGAATTTAGTTGCGATTGACGAACTTCATCTCGAATGTCAGACATTTTTAGATGTTTTGATGCAATTTGCAGTAATTTTGAAGATTTTTTTTCTTGAATTGTAGCGATTTTGAGTATTTGAAGAGAGAGAATATGGTGTTGAAGAGAAATGCAGAATTAACTGCAAGTTCTAACTAGTGCGATTAGTGGGATGCGGTTAGTGGGGTGTGGTTAGTGGGGGTAAGGGTTTTACGGTAATTTCAGGGGGGAGCAGGTATTAATGGCTAAAGGGGGGTGTAGTGAATACGAATTAGCAGCGTAAGTCATTCAATTTTGTAAGCTCGCTTTAGTTGGTCTTACGAATTTCTCTCTGTTTTTGAAAATATGGCGAATTTAATTAATACTCTGTAGTGAACTGTGTCAAGTACTACTTAACTACATAAGGCTTAGTTGTTCCTATCATAAATGAACAACTTACTAATTGAGTAATTTAAGGGTATATTTTACGTAATATCTTTATTTAGATTTTTAGAAACTACCTATTTTTACCCATTGTTAAATTATTCTTTCTTTCAATTAATGGGTGTATCAAAAGCTCAGCAATTTGAAGATTATATTTTAAGCTGCTTTAAGTAACGCATCCCATAACCCTTTAGCTCAAAACTCGAATATAGAGAAGTTAACGAGACATAATGAACCTCTTAGACTCTATCAGTCTTGTCATGTGCAGTGGTGCTTACATTCTTTCTCTGGACGCCAATGTCAAGACTTTATTCATACTACTACCTCATATACGAAACATGTATAGAGCTATGTTACTCGGACACGGATTCAGTGTCTACTTGGCTACGAGTGTCCAAGTATCCGGACTTGGTCATTTTGTAGAAAAAAAAAACTACTGTAGATTTTAGTTAAAATCCAAGTAGACACGACACGATACGACATTCTATTTACAGAGTATTTGTGACAGTAGGTAAAAAGAAATTAAGCAAAAAAAACACAATGAATTACTCAGAAACACAATAAAATTAAGCTAAGATGAAAATTAAATTACAAATTCACAAACACATGGCTTAAGCCAATATTTCGAATCACACCCATACACGCTAATTTACTCCGTATCTTTACCTAGCTTTCTAGTATACATTTCACAATATATCAGAAATATATATTTCACTGATAAAAGTCATATGTTATCTTTTTTTTTGGTATCAATAAGATTAGATAACAACAACAAGCTGTTGAACTCTTCATTGGAATCAAATGAAGAGCAAAAAAACAAAACTGTAGCAATCATCTTCGATTTCAACGATACCTCCAATCAAATCTGTCTACTTGGAAAGGTGGGTAAAGATCTCCACACAAAGGGACAGAATGAGGAATCATAGGGACTGAGTCAACACTACTTCGAGCTTCACCACTAAATCTTGTTCTTGTCCATGACATATGATGATTCTGAATTTCCTGAAGCGGCCGCCTCTGAAAACTAATCTGCTGTTTGGCCTTGTTTGATGCTGTAAGGTTCATGTACCTTGGTTTGCTGCAACTGCTGTCGTCTGTTCTGCTTGCGCTGCTAGACACCGGAGTTCTAGAAGCTGATAATGATGAAGTAGAAGTTGAGGATTCTTCAGTAAGAAGTTTCGAATTTGGTTCAGAAGAGGTTCGAGCAATATGTCCTACATAATTAGGCCTTCTAACAATCTTCACTTTTTCTGAATTCTGCTCAGAGACACTTGAACAGTCGACTCTTAATTTGTTTTGCTTTGAGGAAATCTTAGAGAGTGGAGACATGTATGGAAGGTCACTTCGTACTTCCTCCATCAACCTTGTTTCCCATGGTTTGCTAGCCATCCAACGGTCCAACCAACTCCAACCAAAGCTACTTTTATCAAGTTTCGGAGGTTGAGAAGTGGTAAATGATTTGTTCTTCCCTAGGTTCAACTTGTAATAAGAGAAGGCGCAACTTGTAAATTTTCATGCTGATAAAACAGTATGTAGTAGGAAATATTTTTGCAAATTGTATACCTGTTGAGTGGCAGCATATGAAATTGCACGTTCTCTCTTGATGGCTGCTTCTTGCCTTGACTGCAGCTTTGTCCTGATTTCATCCGCGCTTTCTCTACTGTCGCACCATCCTTCCTATAAACAGACAACGGTTTATGTCACCCACAAAAACAATTGTTTTAAGGCTGCAGGGGAAGCAATGCTATGAATGATTCTTAAGTTCATGTTCACAATTCAAGTATACGACTCGTTATCCATTTACCTCTGCTTCCTTAACAGGATCGGCTTGAAGACTGTCGACTGATCTCAATTCATCCTGTCCTTCAAATGCCATCCTCACTCGGTGGGCCTTGACATGCGCTTGAGCTCTAACAAGTGCTTGCATACACCTTAGAGTAACTGCAGCTTGCTTCCTTACTAATCGACCTCGGACTATAGCCTGAAGTTTCACAAGAGATTTCAAGGCCCTTAAAGCCCGTTTCGCCTACCAAATCATAGATACACATACATATCAATATCAATATTACCCCATTACTTTCAAATTAAAGTGGCAAGGGAGGACCAAATCTGATTCACTCCCACAATCATTCAAAGGGTATCATAGAAAGTTTGCACCAGAACCATATAAAATAAAACTCCAATACTTCAATTTTGCACATAAATAAAAGAAACTCCCTCAACTATGTTTCATATAGCACTAACTGGCATAACATAAAGTTTGCATAACAGAGTCAATTCATTTAATATCATGGATGATACAGTATATGTTGGCATCCATTAGGATTACCATTTACCAAAAGACTAACTTTAAATTTGTATGACATGTACAACCATAACCTATAATCCAACATAAATGATTAAACTCTGGCTAATTAAAAATCACAATACATCAACATGTTTTTTCACAAAATTACCACAAACAACTTATTACTCCCACTTTAAATAAGCCACATTCTATTTTAGTAGAATATCCTGAAATTATAAGTCACAGATTAATGAGTATTCCCACATTACTATCATTTAGATTTTTCTAGTCTCTCAACTCAACAATTATGTAATTTTCAAGCAGAATTCCTTTATAATAACCCCAAATTATAGAATTGAATACAACATACAAGCAAATTACAAACAAAAAAAACAGAAAAATAAAGACTTTTAGAAGAAGAAATATTATACCAAAAATGCACGAAAAGCAGTTTGAATACGAATAGCAGCCCATTCTTGACGAACGAACAAGAAATTCTTAGAAGGAGCTCGAATAACAGCAGCCATGGCAGCATTAATTCTTGCATCTCCACCACCAGCCGTTGATGTAAAATCAGACGGTTCTGATTGCGCCACGCCTTTGACTGATGGATTTTTCCAAAGTCTCCATCTTTTTCGACTCTTCACTTTCTCCTACAAACAAGCTTGAAGATTTAGAAGGAAAACAGGACAAACAAAACCCAGAAAAATAGGAGAGAGAATGTTTAGAAAGATGAAATTTTTATAGTAATTTAAGCTTACATGATGATCATTTGAGTTGGGTTTTTTAAGATTGATTAAGGATTTTAGCCAATTTGATGAAGCACCCATTTTGAGAAATTCGATGTTTTTTTTTTTTGAGATTTTAAGGTTGGAGTATGTTTTTGTTTGGATGTTGTTTTTATGTTTTAGAAGAGAGAGAGAGAGAGAGAAAGAGTGTTGGGACAATCCAATGGTAGATTTTGAGTTCAAGTAAGAGGAGAGAGAGTGTAAGTGAGTTATAAGAGTGGAGATGTTTGAAATTTGAAATTCGAAAGAGGAAGAAGAGAAGTGTAACGGTAATGATGAGAAGAAGAGGAGGGAAATTGCTTTGCTTTTATTATGCTTTTTCCCTAGACAAGCTTCCTTAATAAAGGAGGATATTAAGGTTAAAAGCTTTTCTCTGTCTTCATTGGCAATTACTCGTATAGTCGTATCCATCATTAATTTCACTCATGTTATCCATGGAGTATTACTCATATGAATATCTTTTTCGAAAAAAAGTTACACAGAGAAGTAACATGAACTAAAATAACTACGGAGTAGCTATTTAACACTTACTCCGTTTATTAAAGTACTAAGCTAGGTTGCACCTATACGGACATGGACACAGACACGGGTACGATACGGACACAGCAAAACGGCAATCCTAAAATAGGGGACACGGGTACAGCAAATAACAAAACAAATAATATATCAAAAAAAACGAGATTTTGACAACTTATTCAACAAAATACTAAATAATTAACCTTAAAACAGGTCATTTACCGTAGCTAAATAATATTTTCCTAATTCACATACAATAATGTGCTATGAAATGTATTTTGAAGGCGCTCATATATAACTCTTACCTTTTTCTTTCATACTTTACCTTAACTTTCTAATTAAAAAAGTTAAAAAGATGAGGTGACATATCAAAATGCAAACCGGATCGAATCATAGTAGGATACGATTCGTCTCAAAGTGTCTAAATATATTAAAAAACCGGATGAATTTTTATGTGTGTCCGTTGTGTGTCGAACGAGTGTCGGTGTCCGACACGGTGTCGGACACGGACACGGCTATTGGACGAAGTGTCCGTGCTTCCTAGGTACTAAGTACACGTCTTAATACCATTCCCTGATAATAAAATAGAAATCCTTATTTATTGACAGTAGTTATTTGAATTCTTCACTCTTCTTATTGTTCAGAATATTAATATCATGGACCCCAAAGCTGGGACCTCTTCAAACTTTGGTACTAGGGGAAGGGTACCCGGAGATTGTTGTAGAAACTAAACAAATCATCAAAGTGGGTTACTATGAAAAACATATACTCGTATTAATTTAAATAATGCAATTCAGATTTCAAGTTGACAACTCCAGTTTGACTTTGCATGAATATGTTGTAGTCTTGTGTAGAGTGAACTGTGTGACACATGTAGGACAAAACATTTGTGGGATCCAAGTATATAATCTATATATAAACTGTTAGAAGTGGTACAAATGGAGAATCCAACATATCCAATAGTAGTACTAATAATTGTCTGAAATTCCTCAAATTAGGACATAAAAGTACTAATCCAGTCTTGGAAGCTGGAGCTGTGGAGCTGCTAATTCGGTATGCATACTCGGACTCTGCCCGCTTCTATGTACCAAGTAAAATGAAAATTGAAACTATTTGGTGGGAAACATGTTGTGACATTGCTAGTGCAAATTACATTGTCGACCTGAGAATCAATTCTTCAGGTTCGTACACCAATATGAAGAAAAGGTTTGATTTCTTGCATATTGAATTCCTTCACACACAAACGACAATGTCTGTAAGAGCTTGCAAGCCCTCAGAAAAAGCAATTACAAAAGAGGACATAAATATCCAAGATTTTCAGAATTTTTTTATGAAAAATCTAGTCAAAACCCAATAACATAATAATTTGATACATGAGCAAACACTGAAGGTTTGAAACCAAACTTTGAAACATTCATCCTCTGTAATTTCTAAAACAAAAACAGATAGAATTTACATAAACAAACTGCTGGTGGCTGAGTTGAATCAAACAAGTAAGAGTCAGAACGATTCACACTCATTCCCAGAATCCAAATTCAATGAGAAGAGAGCGTTGAATCCAATTAAACATTCTTGTGACAGAAACTTACATCATTCCCTTATTTGTCATCTTTAGAATCCTTTTTTGGATGGATTGCTCCAACAATGGCCTCAACTTCTTCCTTCACCCGTTCGAATAAATTTGGAGCTTTGATTTCATCAACTGGTGTACTTTCATCTATATCATCACTTGTCCCATGAGTTTCCTTGTGGTGACGTGGTGAGGCTGGTGACTTATGATGAAATAGTGCTTCAATATCCTCCTTAGTTTTTTCAAAAAAATCAAGACACTTCACCTCCTTCTCCTTCTCTGTCATTAAGAAGCAAACTTCTTAAAAGCAAGCTTTGTGATAAATTGATAATAATACAAACAAGCTATATCTAACTGCTAGAGTGGCACAATTCTTCAATTGTAACAGAGAAAATCTTCCTATTGTTCATCGTTACCACAACATCATATAAGATTCAAAATGTATTCTATGATTGAATTCCATCCCATGCCCTTGGAAGTTATACGGCATCAAAAGATCTCAAAGACTTAAGTTTTGTGAATTGCAAAGCCTATTGCACATGTAAATTCCTTCTGGGATAGATGTAAGAACAGAAGTTCTAGGAAATCAAAAAGACTACGGAGCAATAAAAAAATGTGAAGTTCAACTTCAATTTTCCTTCTTCTGAAAGTGTAATGTAACCTTCTACACAACACTTATCCCATAAAACTACGAAGCAATTATAACCACAGATTGACACTCTATAATGACTATAATATTAGAACAACTGAAAGTTAGAAGAAGAAATTCAAAATTACTCTGTAAGAACACTATCATACAAAACGTTCGATTTGGACTGTAACTTAGCATATGATATTCAAGTAGAACTTTGTTGTCTCTATGATTCAAAATCAGCTCATATGTATTCTTGCCAACTATATTCCTGAAAACAGTTCTAGAGCCTTGCAACTACAGGTACTTCCCTAATTCTAGTTGTTTCATCAATCCAATGAGGCCAACAAAGCCACAAATTGGTTAGCAAATAACAATCAAAGGCGGATATAGAATAAATAGGTTGGTGGGGCAATAACGAATTGTCAATTCAATACATATGTCATTTTATCCAAGTATGATTATGATTCTTTAAGGGCCTCCCCAAGAATTCAAAAGGTTTACTATTGATGATATTGTAGGAGTGGCTTTACCGCGCTTAATTGTTGAACTAAATCATCTTTGCTTCTAATTGAGGGTTCTAACCCTTGATTGGAGCATTTCACCTAAATTAAAAGTTATAAAGGGGAGAAACCCTACAAACAGCAGCATCAATTAATCAACTTTACATCTACCTTATTGTAGGGTATTTCAAGAAAAATCATCAATTAATTAATAGAGCAAGTGACCCCATTTTAGTACTTGATTTGGGTTGCTTTCAAATACTCAAGAATGCAGCTGTAAAAACTACATCTTCAATTGATTTGGAAAACAATGAATTCCCAAATTAATCCAAGCCCAAATTTGCAAAATTTTTTAATATAATTTACTTATAAATCGAGCATCAATCATTATAACATTAAATACTAAGAACTGGAAGAAATTAAGGTACTGCAATTCGCAAACAGCAACACAACCTAATCAAAATTCAAAAATTAAACCCAAAAAAATGTTAAAATAAATGGAGGAGAATAAGAAAATATAATAAGGTAATAAAAAGTTGCATACTTGGGTGAGTATCTTCTGTGTTTGATGCAGCAACTGGGTGGTCTGCCATTAGAGAATATTTGGGTCGAAATTATGTAAGAATGAATGAATAAAGATTAACTCGATGAAGAACTGTTTAATAAAAAATGAAATTTGGGATAGTTTGTAAAGGATTTAGCAAATGGATTAGTTTTGAGACTATTGACAAAACAAAACTGTTGGAATGAGTTGGTGGATACGGTGGATTTGATTCGCTGACTTTTTTATTTTCACTTATTCTTTTCTTTCTTATTCACCGAATAATTATAGATACTCGTATTATTTGACGAATGACTCTAATAATGTTTTTTATTAGTATAAAATTGTGTTTATATGGTATTATTAAATTACAATTCTATACCAATGAGTGTTATTAGAGTTATTAATAACTCAAGTTATTAAAGGCTGAGAAATGGTCAACCCACTCACCTACCGACCCTAATAGAATGAGAGGAAACCCCATTTTGGTCACATAGGTTGACGTTGATCTAGGCATCTTAAGGCTGTTAAGTAGAGACGTATTCAAAAATTGAAATATTATCCTCATTACACTGAAAGTGGAGATGTATGTGTATGATGCTTCATTCTTGGTTAAATGTAAAACTTTAAAGGCCTGTTGTGATTTACTAAACAACGTTGAAGTGAAGTGAAGTGAATTAAACTGGTTTGAGCTGAGCTGAATTGAACTGAATTGTTTATGAGAGAAAAACTTGGGAACTGAACTGAAATTAAACTAAAGTGTGCCTAAAACACTTTTTGGTACTCCGTGTGCCAAAAATAGAGTTTTTCTTAATCTTATCTATCCTTCTTTTTTTAAAATTTAGAAGTAAAATCAAGTCAAGAGAGAAAAAAGAATAAAAAGTGTAACGTTCGAGTTGACTCGAGACTTGACTCGCTTGAACAACGATGTGAAATATGAAGAAAATAGGTGGGAGCAACGAAGAAGAAGAATAGTAGAGCTGCACATATATAGCATAGCCATGTACTACAGCTACGTTATTTAAAAGTCTATGCAATTACACAAACTGCGAAGCATATGTCATGTCGCTGCTTTCTGAATTAAACAGCAGTGATTTATCCAATCATTCAATCATCTATCAATCTTCCATCCTAAACTTCACTATGTTCTTCACTTTTTCCAAATCTGGTACTGTACAAGTTTAAAGTTCTCCCAATTTGTTTCTTTTTTTTTGGCCTAATTTAAGCCTCTTTTTGTTTGGAGATAATTCATTTTACACAAGCTGTTTCATTTTGCCCAAATTCTCAAAAAAAAAAAAAAAAAAAAAAAAGTTTAAGGTGGACTAATTTGAGGCTAAGAATTGTTAACATTGGTTAGAGATTTCCCCACGTTCCTTGTACACCTATTTTCTTACTTGAAAAAAGTATCCGTGATATGGAAAAGATATGTGAAAAAAAACACAATATTTTACTTTTTTTTTTTAGGGGAAAAACACAATATTTTACTTGGATAAAGTCTATATATAATGTTTAATATTTTGACATACTCAAAATGAAATTCAGGCATGTAAAATTGTAAATAGGGTAGATACTACAAGTGCTTGCACTACCTACGCAACCATCCAAGATTTTTTTTTTAATTTTTTTACTACATCTGTTACAAATTATTTGCAACGATTTGACATAAAGTAGAGAGGAAAAATGTCTAATCGTTGCAAATAATATGTAACGGAGGTAATATTTTTTTGGTAAGGTTGGATCACACGTCAGCGAGATAAGTACAGAGACATAATAAAAGTTTACATGTATGAAACCTCACATATTTTCCTTTTAAAAAAAAAAAAAAAAAAAAACCCTCACATTTCATTAGACTTATTAAATACGAAATACAGTGATAATCTCATTACCTGCATCACTACACATTAACAGTATTTTTTTTGTTTTTTTTTTAAAAAGGATCAATAGTCACTCTCCAATCTCAGCCTACTGCATTACTGAAATGGAATTTCAGAAACTGATATAAAAATAATAAATCCAGAGGAAATAAGTTGCAGCAAATCAGAAAATATGTCAGCACTATAAGTCTATAACCTCTCAAACAACACATACGACTTTCAATATAATTCTCAGTAATGTAGTATTACAAGTCACGTCACCTAATTCCATCTCTCATAAACCTCAATTTGTTATAAATTATCACATTTTCTCAACCACTAAAAATAAAGAATTTACCATAATATATATCACAGTCCAGTTCCATCTCAGGACATTAACATTTTTTCCGAACATCACAAATATTAGTATGATACTTGGAGTCCTGATTTTATCTCAAATAGCCGACTCTGAGTCCGAGCAACATAGACATTTATTCTAACAACATAGTAGTGAATATGTACTGCTAATAATTTCTAACAGCACACAAAAGTTTTTTTTAAAAAAAAAAAAAAAGAGAGAGAGAGTTTACTGGAAGAGTACTCCAGTAGGAGTAACAAACTTAATAAAGAAGCTATGAAGAAGGAACCTGCAAAACAGGTGACTGAATCATAAATTGGGATTCAATAAATAAGGGAAGAAGAAAGGATTCTGCAACTGAAGATCTCTTACCTTTTCTAGGAACCAAATAATATAATACAGAGAAAAGGCACTGCAGTCAAGGATCCCTATGCTCTACCTATTCTAACAATTCCAGAGATCTTGTAGCCCTGTAGGACTCATCCCTATTTTCCCTTCCTTTTCACTTCTCAGATCCATAAATGGCAGCTGTCATTTGAGCCATCTTATTAGACAATCAAACTTTCAAAGCTACCCTAAAAAAAAAAAAAAAAAAAAAAAATCTGTCTTTTCTGCAAGTGTGTTGTCATAGATATAAGAAGAGTTATCAGTGTCTCAGTAGAAAAGTAAATATAAGACACAATCCCTTGTCTTTCAAGCAAACCCCTCTCTCTCTCTCTCTCTCTCTCTCTCTCTCTCTCTCTCCTCCCAATGCAAGAAGAAAGGCCAGTAAACTTAAGGGTTCTCTCTGGATTTTCAGTGTTTTTTCTTATTGGCAGAAATTTGGGACCCAATGCAAGAAGTATATACTGTATACATATAATGATCATGGAATCATGCATAGCATTGTTCAACTCCAAGTGATCTGAATCATCTTTCACTCTCTCTTTCTCTCACTAAAAAAGAAAATACTTATCGTTTGAGTTTCTGGGAGCAATGAGAAAGAAGTTGTTTAGCACAATTGTGTTACTTCTGCAAATTGTTGCTTGGGTTCCTGCAACTAGTAGGCTTTTGATTCCAAACCATGATTCTTCTTCTCTGATATCAGGTACCAACTGTATGTTATTTCATCACCATTTTGACCTGTTAAGAAAATTTGCTAGTAACATTAACAGTATCAAGAACTACGATCACTCTACATTCCGGGAAAATAATTTTGGCACTCCGACTGAGAGAGCAGAGTTTTAATGCTCTGATCATAAAGAGGAGTGCCAAAATCAGTTTCCAACATTCCACTTGTCCCAATCAAACCAAAACTATAATCACCCCTAACTAAAAATTTTCTGTGTTCAGGTACTGGTGGAAGTCCAGAGAGTTCACAAGCTCCCTGCAGTTCAATAGAGGTATAATCACTCTCGCTCTCTCTGTCTCTATCTCTCTACTTATGAATCTATCTCTATTTTTCTCTTGTTTGAATATTAACATCCAATAATAAACATTTTTGCAGGATTTACAGAAACTATCAGAAGCAAAAAGCTACAGAAATGAACTTGGTTCAAGACCCCCGAATTGCGACCACAAATGTGATGGTTGCAACCCTTGTGTAGCCATACAAGTACCCACAATAAGCGGCGGCCACTTAGGAATACAGTATGCAAATTATGAGCCTGTTAGTTGGAAATGCAAATGTGGGGCAACATTCTACAGCCCGTAACTATTTTTGTTACCCTAAAGTCTAGGTATTTATAAGTTAAAAACTTATCTTAAGTTCAGCAAATGCTTTTTTACTCTGTTTTCTATCTTGAGTGAAGTTTAGAGTGCATTTAGCTCTGTACAAATTAGGCATTCTATTTGAGATATGAGTCAAATCAATGTAGAAGTATATATTAATCATCTGTACTAAATCAATATTCGAGTTTTCTCAAGGTTTTGAGCAAAAAAATTGCATCAATCTTATCATGTCAATTCTATTCTATGAGACGTGTAAGTCATCAAATTAGAGGACTCACATTTCCTCCTCTACCTTTCCTTGCTGTCTTGGATAGATTCGATTTGAATTTCACCCACCAGATATCCCTTGTCGTTTGTGCTGATATGAAAGATTCAGCCAAGACTTCATAATGTCGTAAGTCGTAAACCCAATGGCAACAGACGGGACAACTTTGATGTAGTTAATACTCAGACCAGCAAACAACTGCCTCCATCCTTGACTTTGAACAATCCCCCTAAGGCCTTCAATGGTGTTTTTATACCTTGCTCCACCTTGATGCAAATTTTCAACCTGCAGTCGACATTTTACCTAAAAGTCAGTTATTGAGTCATACGCACACAGGTAGGCTCTTTTTCATAGTACTTTTTGTTACAAGATAATTAAATCTGAAATAAGGGATGTTCATCCAAAGAAAGTGATAGTTGGTTAATTAGCACCAAAAAACACAAATGAAAAAGAAAGGAGAAGGGAAACAAATGCATTTGAGTCACCCAAGTGGCCAAGTTGGATCTAATCGTTCAATCATGCAAAAAAACTAATTATGCGCACTGCCCCAGTTGTAGTTTGTATCATTAGCTGTGTGAAACTCTCTTTGTCATCGCACCAGTAAACTCAAGATTAAATGTTGTAAGCTAAAGGTTTGAGAAAAGGGCCATATTTTGCTGAAAGCAAAGGATTGGAACAGCCAAATGATCACAAAAATGACAAGTACGATGCTCATAGAGACATGGATGGCACTTTGCACAATCATTCTCATGTCAATTCGACACGACTAAATACAATCAGCTTGGCATATCCAAAGACCTTGTATCAAAGGAAACTGATTAAGAGTAGCACAGATCATTTCACATGACTAATCCCATCACAACTCCTAAAAATCAATATGGAAACTATCAACTCGTTGAGAATCTCCTTCAGAATTTGTGCTACCCCCTCAATCCCAAATTGCTAGCTGATTTGCTGCAATCACTGTTTTTTAGGTGTTCATCAACTTTGACAATAATTATTCATGATACTCCTTGCTATCTTTTTCGTTAAATGTCTTTTCAATAAATCAATTTTTAAATTTTTTTTAACTATATGCAATTAAAAATATATTAATAGGCAAACATGAATAAAAAAAATAATAATAATAAAAAGAGAGAGCAAACAGTTAGGACAAAGGGAGTAGTACACTGGGTTTGCCACTATATCTTGGTATATCAACTACACAACCATTACTACAAAATGTTTATGTTAACTTATTGGCAGGCTCTGGGAGTAGTTGAAGGCTTGAAGCCACAGACTAAATCCCATGCAATGTGTTATTCATCCCTAATTGAACATGCAGAATTGAGTAATTTAAATTTTTTTTTATTTTTTTATTTTTAAAAAAAACACAACAACAACAACAACAAAAATATTGATCTAAAGATGCTGAGCAACCCAACCAATGTAATATATAATGAACCATTAAGCATCCAGATATAAGTACATTATGAAATATGAATTATGTAGTTAGGATTCCTAGTCCAATGAAGAAATCTAAATATAGATAAAAAATAATAATAATAACAATAATAAAAATAAAAAGATTGCCACTATACCTAATAATAAATATAAAACGAAATAAGAGGTAAAAAAAGAGGGGGGGGGGGGGGGAACGAGGACACTTGGAGAAATTTACCTGCATTTGTCGTCTAACAACATCCAATGGGTATGTGAAGGTTTGTCCAAATAATCCAGCTAAAGCTCCACAAGAAAGCCTTAATACAATGGATTTTTGATGCTCATCAGGAACTCTTCTTTTGAGCTCCTCGTATATATAGAACTTCAAACCAGCGTATGGAAGGATTCCAACAAGTGTTGGTCCTGCTCAAACAGTGAGTCACAATGTCACATGGCATATACAGTACTTACAAGAGTAACAACTGCGTAATTAGTCCAAAAAAGATAGCATGGCATGGGTAAAAACAATCCTTCCTAACTTCTTATTAACTAAACACTGACCTAAACAGCCATAATTTTTATGCTTTAAGGTGTGACTGTGCGAGTGTGTGACCGAGAATTTTCATATGAAGGGGAACATCCAACGTACACGTGATAATAAGAGCAACAATCACAGTGAACCCTTTAGAATGCAAGCACTGAAAATAATTTAGTTCTCCTAAGCAAGTACTTACCCACGCCACGATACAAGGCGCGCACACCGCCTTCATTGTAAACACGCTTAAATACATCTTTTACTCCACTATATGATGGAGAAGAGTTGCTGCAGTTCAAACTGCTCCTGAAAGTTGACCGTTTGTCCACTACCTTAGACCAGATAAATGATGACAAAAGCCATGAAAATACACATTACCAACCAACTACAAAGTCAAATTCTGGTAATGAAACAATAAGAATGTCATGACCCTTAATAAATGTAGGATAGGCACCTGATAAGCAAGCTTTGTCCTCGCCAAGTCCAAGGGGTATGTGCATAAAACTGCAGTACCACCAGCTGCTGAGCCGGCTATAAGATCTACAACAGGTCCTGTCCCCAGGGAAGTACATTTATCATACAGCCAAAACCGGTATCTCTCATACGCCATGTAATGCAAAGCTGCATAAGGAACAATCCGGAGGACACTTGCACCATTCCCTCTAATAAGAAATCGAGTAGTTTAATACAAATTAACAACTTGCACCAACCAAACATAACTGTGAAAACAGAAGAAAAAATAAACAACAAACCAATAAATCAAAGCCTTACTTGTACAACCCTTGTATCCCTTCATGATTTAGCACCTTCTTCAGTGACCTGTAGACCCCAAGAGAATGAAACCCATCCGTTCGTGTCTACAAATGTGTTAAAAATCTCATATAAGCACTGCAATTAGTAACTAGTTCCTCTAATCATTGTCACCCTGATTTCACGTTCATATTCATTCAATTAATCAATTTCTTATCAACCCCAAACAACTAAAATCCTCTACAAGTGCCTAATTTCCACAAAACAACAACCCCAAAATACTCTTTTACCAGTGCCATTGCTCAAGATTATTTAATATGTAATCTTCAACAAACACAAATTACTACTTCCATCCCAGTTTACTGGCTCCAGTTTTCTTATAGGCGTTCCAAATTATCCAACTCATTACTTATTATGAATTATTTCTCTCTAATTTGTCTCTTGAATTGGGTCCTAAATATATACGGCGGGATTATAACAAGTAATAACACCAAATAATATCCCAAAAACAATTCAAATCAAAACATTCACCTCATAATTTCATAAATTCATCAATTAACTTAAAAACACAATACAATTAGCAACAAAACCAACAACTAAACCCATCAAATCAATTTAACAATCTTTACTACAACCCCAATTAATTAAACAACATCAAAATTAAAAATTCAATAAATAAAAAAAAAACCTGAAAAAGAATCTTAATTCTTTCAAGGGGGGCAACAGCAGTCTTAGCAAAAGCACCAGCAGCACCACCAGCAATCAATTCCCTGACATAAACAGGCAAAGAATCGACAAAAGTAGGATCATCATCAACAATTAAGCCGGCAACATTCGATGAAGATGACAACGTTGTACTATCCGAAGAACCCATCTCGAAATCTGAGGAAACAATTAACTGAATTGGGGATTACCAGCCGGAAGAAGGGATTTGGGTGTTCTTCCGGGGTAATTTGATTGATCTGAATCAACCGCATTAAAAGGGGTATTTTAATGAATATTCAGGAAATTTGGAAAACAAATTTATCATTGGACACGTTTTTTCCTCTTTTCCTTCTACTGGAAAGACACAGTGGAAGGAGGAAACTTCCCAACGCTTTTTTTTTTTTTGGTCTTCCTTGTTTTGGCGCTTTCGTATTCTACAGTATTTTTATGATTTGAGTACTAACTAGTAACAACCTTAACAAATTCTTATATGCACTCGGGTTTATGTAGAGGTGAGGCCGTGTAGGCATATGTAGTATTTGTTGCTCATTTGAAGATTAGAAAATAAGTAAATAAATTCAAAATCAAATGACTAAAAGAAAATCAATGAAAGAAAGAAATGACTTGTCCAGTTAACAACTCTAAAAATTAATTTATTAAATGTTGATTTGCTATGTTTTTGTTCAATTAGTGTTGCATATACTTGCATGGATAAGTATATCAAATGACACATGCTTTTTAAAAAACCATTGTATATATATATGATAATGTCGTGCCACATTGGATAGATTTAAATAGGCTTTATAAGATTTAAAAAAAAAAAGTTAATTTAGAATTATATTTGGATAGAATTTTAAGATAAAATTGTTAGTTTGGAGTTTTATTTTCGATAAAATTTCAATATTTCATAGGTACAAATTGAATTATAATTTTATTCAAAAAAATTATTAGATTATAATTCTAAAAATTATCATATAAGTAGACCGGTCAATTAGGGCCAGGTCATGAGTTATCTCGAATTAAAAATTTATCTTAAAATTCAATATATAAACCACCCAAGCATTGCACAAATGCACGGGGCACAAAAATAGTATGATCGTGCTTGGTGAATAGCTGAAAGTTAAAGCTGATTTTTACTAGCTGAATGTATTAAGTGATTTGACTAACTTATTTTATTACTTGATTGTATAAAAGTGTTTAGTAAATAGCCGATAACTTAAAGTTGATTGAGTATGTGAAATGACCAATAAGCTAATTGTGGGGTAAATAGTTTAGGTAGAATTTTAAATTAAATGGGGATATAAGAGTCATTTCGCCATAAATTAATGAATAGGCTAATTGAAAATCACATCAATGCCAAATAAATCCTTAGCATTCAGATTTTTTAAAAAAATTTCATCCAATTCAACTTTACCAAACCCGATTCGAATACTCGAATTGACACCAATAATATCCGCTATGGACTCGATGTCTCTCTAATCGGACATGCTCACATGCCCATTGCCCAATTTGTTTTCATCAAAATGGCTTCATTTTCGTTTTTATAAAGCCCAAATCAACCGACTGTCACCTCTTCCTCTCTTTCTCCGATATTGCTCCGTTGTTTGCTCTTCCTCACTGTACTTCCAGATCTCCAATTCCACCCAGAAAATGGCGTCATTCTCTGTTTATCGGGTGAGTCTTCTCTCTCTTTCTCTAGATCCACGACTTACTTTTCTTTTACTTAATTTGTAGTTCAATTTCTTTTGCAATTTTCATTACATTTCGATTTGATCCAATTTTTGCGCTACCCAAAACAATTAAACCTAATTTGATCTGATTTTTGTTCAATCAAAACAAAATCGCTTAATTTGATCTGATTTCGTTGTTCCTATATTTCAATCGAGTGTAATTAACATTGTTTAGGGTCTGATTTAACATTCATCGTAGCTAAAACAATCATTATTCGCAATTTAATTGATGAATTATGCTTATATCGTGGCACTGAATCGCTGCAATTGTGGAAGTTGATGAAAAGTTGTGTGATTTGTGATTGATCATGAGTAGTTGATGTTATTTGGTTATGATTCGGTCGTGTAGGACTCATGCCCATTAGTGAAGAACATACTGCTTCTCGATTCGGAAGGGAAGAGGGTAGCTGTTAAGTATTATTCGGATGAATGGTCTACGAATGCGGCGAAATTGGCCTATGAGAAATCCGTCTTTACTAAAACTCAGAAGACTAATGCTAGGACAGAAGGTAGCCTATCATTATATTGATATGATGTGTTTGTTTCTCGTACATTAATTTGATGGCGTCGAGTTTGACAGCTCATAAGTTGTGTTTGCTTTGTATGATTTTGTTTATGAACATGTATGATCTGCAGTGCAGTTATGTTTAAAAGCTTCTCCAGCTCAAGATATTATTGAAAGGGAATTTTGATTAAGTTATATACTGTTCTAGCCTTCTAGATAATGATGATAGGACATAAACAGGCCGTGTAATCAGATCTTGAGCGCAGGGCTTTGGTGCATATTATAGGCAGTTAGTTTTATGCATCATGATTAGTCAAACCGTCTAGGATATTGAACTGTTTTGGTAGACTCTGGATTACAAACGTGCTACAACGTGGTAGCGATTACCTGCCATGAATATGTTTGCATGCTTGGCAAATACAGCCTAACTACACCAATAAGACATACAGAGTTTTATTTTAATCTAAACTATGAAATTTTAATGTATCTTTGGGAATTTACTTGTTGATAATAGCTGAGGAGACTTTGTAGATTGGGGTTTAATTGGAACCATTTGCTGCTAGCTTATTAATTTGAAGTTTGTGCTCTTTATATCAGGGTTACAATGAATGTCAGTTTTTCAAGATTTTAAAAAGTACTACATAAGTTATTGGGACTCCATGTAAGATGTAACTCATATAAGTTAATCTTTTGGCCCGTGCAATGCACGACTTGTTAATAGAAAATTGCATTGAGAGATGATTAAGGAAATACCAATAAATAATTATGAGTGTAATACGTAAATGAAAACATAATTAAAGAAATAAAAATTTTGGGACTTTAATTTGAAATGAGACTTAATAGAAAGAAGATGGAGGGACTAAAATCAAAGAGAGAAAATAAAAAGGTTGAATTAAAGAGGGGAGATGAAGATGAAGTGTTTAATGAAAGAGTTAAGAAAAATTGTATAATTAAAAATAAAAAAATTTAAAACGACATGTGGCACATTGAGTTGAAGAAGAAGATAGGGAAGTGTAATAGAATGATGACATATGTCTTTTTTGGTTTGCCTTTTTAAATACTAAGTATAGATAGATATAGATGTTTGGGGCTCCTTATGACCTAGATTAAAGTTAATAGAATGCCAGCAGAAGTTGGTTAATTTGTCCTCTGTGGAAACTCCTTATGATATGTGGAGTATTTGCTTTGAGCAATTTTTTTGGGTACCAACTTTTGCTCTTCTCTAATGGGAACAAAAGCCTTTAGATTAAATCATGTGTTAGAAGGAGTATATCTCTGTTATAGTGTTATATGTAGCTCCCCATGCATATATGTCTGGAAAAAGTAACTTGTCAGTTCAATGGCTGTTAAATCATGTTACGAATTTTCCTTGGAACTGCTACGTAATATACTCTTGGTCTATCATTATCTTATATGGTCACTGATATATCATGATTGTCCAGCTGAAATAACTATGTTTGACAACAACATCGTCATCTATAAGTTCATCCAGGACCTCCACTTCTTTGTAACTGGAGGTGATGATGAAAATGAACTTATTCTGGATGCTGTGCTTCAGGGTTTCTTTGATGCTGTTACCCTTTTACTGAGGTAGCTTTTTAAGAGCTAATGGATTTATTATCTATTTTTTATTCTTATTTTTATATTGATGTTAAACTTATGCTTGTTTGCTATCTATATATGGTGTTGTTTTGTGTCCAGGAACAAGGTTGACAAAAGTGAAGCCCTTGAGAATTTGGATCTTATACTTCTATGCCTCGATGAGATAGTTGACAGAGGGTAATATATTGTCCAAGCACTTGATTATTATGTGATTTTTGTTTAGTAATAAATGCTTTTGTTTTATTTGGATTTTATGTTGATATGTCTCTTTTCTTTCTGGAAATATCATTCTTGTGTTGCCAATATCCGTCCCAATATTTCTTCCATAATGTACCAAAATATCTTAGATCTATGAATCTTCGTGTTGATGTTGAAGTAATTAACCTATACCAGGGCAGCTAAAGCTATACTGGCTGTCATCTTCACTTGCTAAGTTGGTGATATGGCATATGACTCTCTTGTAGTAGCTGCCCCGGAATGGTTAATAAACAGTACATTCTTAATGGCTGGTGCATTAGTTTTGTTTAAAGTGCTCTGAATGAAGCACCAGCAGCTTAAAAGAAGTAGAAAACTAGGGATTATTTTTGTATGCATGGTAATGATGCGCCATTTACAGATTCTCTCAATTTCTGGTTCATGGTTATCCCTTTTTTCTGTAGTTGCTCATCATGCTATATGGCTCTCTAATTCTCCAGAACAGTTTGGAATTCTTAGTATTAGTAGTATTGAGTATTGACATAATGGCATGTTTCTGGGAAGTTGTTACAAATTTAGGAATCAATATTAATTTGTAGCAGAATCATTTTCATTTTCTTTTGTCAAAATAGTAATAGCTTGATCAACTATTTATGATAGATACGTATAATCAAGTAAGCTCATGTTTGTTGTATCTTTTTAGGCCTTGTTAGTTAGATGTTAATAGCTGTGGGAATTCATAATTCCATGGAAGAAGAGGGTTCACCAAAGGCTGTGGAGCTTCTAGTCCCACACCTATTTTCTAGTTTTGCCATTACAGTTGCTTAGGTTATGATGTAGGGGTAGGCCAGGCTTGTTGGCAAACAAAATGCTTACATGGCATACTAAGATCCCATGTCTCTGCATGTGTTTCCTTTGAAATTTGGAGCTGCCTTAGATGCACTCCTAGAAATTGGACATTTAAACCTCTAAAAATGACTTATGTGTGTTCAGATTAGCTGAATAGCTTACATATTATATTTTTTTTTCCTTTTTTTTTTTTGGCTTGTTGTGGCTGGCTCGGGCTCAATCTTATATTTCCTAATGCAGGATGATTCTTGAGACTGATGGTAATGTCATTGCTAATAAAGTTGCTACCAGTAGCGTTGATCCTGCTGCACCCTTATCTGAGCAGGTGATGCTATTGAATTTTGTTATTTTTCTCTTTAGTTATTTGTCTCATTTAGACACCATTATCTCCCCTTGCTTTTCATGTGCTTCTGTAGTTCTGTTTAGTATCTGAATGATGATTTTTCCCTCTGGATATGTATTAGAAATCAGTGAATTTATAGACTACTCAATAATGTACCTGTGGGATATATGTACAGCGTACATAGTTCATATATAAATGTTGTTTGATTGAAGACTGACAAAAAGCTTTCCTGTTAATCCGCAGACCATATCTCAAGCACTGGCTTTGGCTCGCGAACACTTGACAAGATCTCTTTTGAGCTAATAATCTATACAATGAATATATTGTCAGCCATTTACTCTATCTTGGATTCTTTGGCGATCCCCTGCTTCATGATGCCAAATTGTTGCGGTTTTTTTGTTGTCTGGCTGATATTCTAGCTGATATGATCATTTAGCTTTGCTTAGCTCATTTAAGCACTTTGTTGGAAGAGTTTATTTTCTTTAGCGAAACCTTTGAAACATTGATTTGCTAGCAAGAAGTATATTCGTTGATGTACCATTTTGTGTATAACTCGTTCAATATAAAAAATTATGTCCTGGTTACATTAATAACTTTGCACCTGGAGTCTTTTTTCTCAATAGTTTCTTACTCGCAAATCTTATGCTGGAGGGGGCACATAGGCCTCCTTTAGTCCTTTACCAATGTACTCAGTGATTTGATTGATCCAACTCCTTTCAAGCCTCTACAATGTCTTCCGAATCTTCTCGTCGAATGGCATTAATATTTAAATTAAGGAGTAAGGCCAATCAATTAACAGGATGCGTTAATGATTAAGTTTAATAGAACCTCTCTAATAGGCATTAATAGGCCACATAAATACTACGTTAGTTTTTTTAGTTTTTACACTTGTGCGGCTGTGCCACCCCATTAGGTCATATCCCAAATGCCTTTACTTTTGGATATATGGCTTACTGGGCAACATGCCAACATTCCCTCTGTATCTAAAAATAAGTACGGAGTAGTAAGCATCGTTTTTTATAGTTTTGTTGCATATACCGAGTACGTTGTTAGGAGTACTTGGTGTATACTTTTAGAGGTAGAACGAGTATATTTTTTTGTAGTTTACAGATACAAGAACTTGTTTTTTCAACTATATTTTGAGGGTTTATTAATTATTATAGTAATTATTTAATGTATTAACTTCATGAGCTTTATACTAAAACCTTTTTTTCGTATTAATTTTACATTAATACTAGTTTAACCAGATCCTACTTGGGGCCTATAAACTGAACTGAAATGAACAGGCCCTTAATAAAACCTATATATATCAGAAACACATATTCATTCGTGTAAAAGTTTTAGACCAATGATTAGGGGTGAAAGTTCGGTATTCGGTTTGGATTACACCCCAAACCGAATCCAAACCGAATTATTTCGGTTTCGGATTTTTGAAACCGAATCCAAACCGAATTTGGATTCAATCCAATCCAATCCAAACCGAAATAATTCGGTTTTGAGAATTAAATCCAATCCAAACCGAAATAATTCGGTTTTGAGAATTAAATCCAATCCAAACCGAATTTTTATGGGCTGCTGTATTAGGCCTTAAAATCTGGGCTTTTTATTGGGCATATAATTTTGGGCCTTTTAAGGCCTAAATTTTGTACCTGTTCCTGAACAAAATTAAAGCATAAATTTTAACATACAACTTTCACAAGTCACAACCATATGCCATACTGCCATAGTAACTAAATTGTCCAGCCATACTGCCATAGACCATAGTAATTAAATACACTTACACATTGTCCACATTGAGACATAAGAACTTAACAAGTCTTAAAACTATCAAAACAGTCCACATGATGAATTGATAATAAAACAGACAAACAGTCCACAAATGAACTAGTTCAACCAACAGGGCAGCTTCATTCTTAGGCTCTTGGCAGAAACTTCAAGTCTTCAATCAATAGGGCAGCTTCATTCTTGGCAGCTAACTCTCAATCAAGCTCAACCAAGTCCGGGTTTTGACCACCAATTGTCATATTCCTCAAGTCTAATAACATTAAAAAAAAATAAACAAGTTACATAATATATATGAAATAATGAAAAAAAATAACATGATAATTGTTGTTTTATGTTACCTTCTTCAAGATCTTCAACTTCTTGTAAACACTCTTCTATATTAGGAAAGGGAGAAGAACGTAGCCAATTTTGAGCACAAACAAGTCCTTCAACGACCCTTGGAGTTAAGGAGCTCCTAAATGGGTCTAGAACCCTACCACCAGTGCTGAATGCACTCTCAGAGGCTACTGTTGAGATAGAGACAGCAAGTATATCACGGGCCATTCTTCCAATTGTTGGAAACCTAGCACTATTAAACTTCCACCACCCCAAAATATCAAAATTTTCACATTCCTCCTCCGTTTCCTCTTCTAAATATTTGTCTAACTCAATTTTTGCTTCTCCATCTTTCTCACACTTATGTTTCTTATACTTACTTTTCAATACCTGAAGCTTCTTTTGTTTGGGAGAAAATTGGGAACTGTCCATACTTGAGGACACTTCCTCCCTAATCACATCACCAGAAGAACCACGATACTCCTCATACAATGCATTCAAAGACTCTTTCAAATTATTCACCAAAACAAATGCATGCTTAGAATCATAAATTTCAATTAACATCCACTCAACATAATCTAACTTATAACGAGGATCAAGCACAACAGCAATAAAAATCAGCATGTTTATTTTCTCCGGATCACCCCAATATTTGTCATATTTCTCCTTCATTTTAGTAGCCATAAGACACATCTCCACATCATCATTTGTCATCAAATCTTTCAAAAGGACAGCAACACTCACCAATTCATGGAAAAATAAATTGGAAGTCACATGCAAAGACCCAGAGACACGCAACGTAAGATCATAAAAGACTTGTAAAAATTCAGAAAACCTTCTGACTGTTTCCCAATCCTCAGAAGTAGGGCAGCCCTTCCCCTCCCTCTCATTTAACTCAATCACATAATGAGGGTCCTCCTCAGAGTACCTCTCAAAAGCATACTCAAACACCAAAGCAGCATCCAACATTAAAAAGGTGGAATTCCACCTAGTAGGCACATCAAGGCACAACAACTTTTTAGAGTTGATTTTTTCTTCCACAACACATTTTTTAAACCTTACCAACCTAGAAGGGGATTGTTTGATGAATCTTACAGCTTGTCTCACACGAGTAATAGACTCATTAACAATTTTCAAGCCATCAGACACAACCAAATTCACAATATGAGCAACACAACGCATATGAAGGAACCGACCCTTAAGAACCCCAGCTTTCCAACCATTTATTTTCCTTCTCATATATCCTATTGCGGTATCATTTGAGCTAGCATTATCAACAGTTATGCAAAATACTTTCTCAAGTTCCCAATCAAGCAAACATTTCTCAATTTCTTTCCCAATTTCCTCCCCCTTATGACTTGATATAGGACAAAAATTCAGAATACGTTTTTGCAAATTCCAGTCATTATCAACAAAGTGAACAGTCAAGCACATGTAATTAATTTGCTGAATAGATGTCCATGTATCGGTTGTTAATGAAACCCTTGAGTTACAATTTTTTAATACCAATTTCAGCTTTCTTTTTTGAGTTAAAAAAGTTTCATAACAATCTTTAGCCACAGTAATTCTGGAAGGGACATGAAATCTAGGCTCCATTACATTACAAAATTTTTTAAAGCCTACTCCCTCAACAAACTTAAAAGGCAATTCATCAACTATAACCATCTCAGATAAAGCTTTTCTAATTACAGTTGGATCATATTTCACATAAGACAATCCACTAGTACAACCACTTTCAATTTTATTGCTTTTGAAAGACAACAAACTTTGTTTTGATTCTTTAGGAGTATTATAGGGGTACTTACGACATCTATTTATATGAGCCCACAATGGACTAGTGCCATTTCTCTTTGTACCACACTTGTATCTCATACCACAGTACTTGCAACGTGCTTCCATTCCAGTGTGTGTTTCTTCCTTGATAAAGTGCTCCCAAACCTCGGAACGATCCTTCATTCTCTTCCTCTTGGGTTTGGATTTTTCATTGTCAGATTCATGCTCCTCAATAGGGACATTCCCTTCAACATTATCCATATTTGTGGACATTCTGATAATCTGATTTAAAACAGAAAAAAGAACTCACTCAATAACCAACAATTTTTATGCAAATCTATGAAAAACAATCAATCTATCACCAGTTCGAGCATAATACAATTCGAGCATAATACAATTTCGAGCATAATACAATTCGAGCATAATAACTATTCAAAGAAAACAATCTATCACCAGTTCGAAAATAACAAAGAAAACATGCAATTCGAGCATAATACTATAATAGAACAACATATATTCTGAACTCTGAAGGAATATCATCAATTCGAGCATAATACAATTCGAGCATAATAACTATTCAAAGAAAACAATCTATCACCAGTTCGAAAATGACAAAGAAAACATGCAATTCGAGCATAATACTATAATAGAACAACATATATTCTGAACTCTGAAGGAATATCATCAATTCGAGCATAATACAATTCGAGCATAATAACTATTCAAAGAAAACAATCTATCACCAGTTCGAAAATAACAAAGAAAACATGCAATTCGAGCAGGAAAAGAGAAGTGCAAGTGAAATCTGAAATTCAAAAATAACAAACATGCAATTCGAGCAGGAAAAGAGAAGTGCAAGTGAAATCTGAAATTCAAAATAACAAAGAAAACATGCAATTCGAGCAGGAAAAGAGAAGTGAAATATGAAATATTGAAATTAAAGCATACCGGAACACTCGAACAGGTGGTCAGCGGCGGCCGGCGTTGGAACACTCGAACGGAACACAGGTGGTGAGAGGGAGAGATGAGGGAAAATCTAGGGTTTTAGTGAGGGAAAGAGATCAGAAACGAAAGAGAAGTGAAATATGAAATATTGAAATTAAAGCATACCGCCATACCGGAACACTCGAACAGGTGGTCAGCGGCGGCCGGCGTTGGAACACTCGAACGGAACACAGCCACAGGTGGTAAGTAGGAAAGCAGGAAGTAGTGAGGTGGTGGATTGGTGGTGGTGGACGAACGGAGTGACTGAGTGAGGTGGTGAGAGGGAGAGATGAGGGAAAATCTAGGGTTTTACTTTTAGTGAGGGAAACGGCTGAGATTGAGAGATTCTGAGAAATGGGCTTATAAATTTAGGGTTTGAGTATATATACGTAGGAAAATGGGCTGAGAAATGGGGCTTATTTCGGTTCGGTGTTCGGTTTTCGGTTTTTAAAATCCCAAAACCGAATCCAAACCGATATAATTCGGTTTTCATTTTCTCAAACCGATCCAAACCGAAAACCGAACAAAACCGAACCGAATTGCTTATTCGGTTCGGTTTGGTTCGGTTTTCGGTTTTTATCCAAACTACTTTCACCCCTACCAATGATAAGTCGGCTCAAATAAAGAGAGCTTTAGACCATATTACACAATGAAACCAAAACATCGTATTCATATGAAGATAACATATTAAAAGAGGCAGTGCCCTGATTACCGAACCTCGTTTTCTTGGCAAACACGTACAT